AGGGCCAGTGTTTCATATCAGACTGCACAACAGCATCATCAAATCTTTGTCCAGTGAGACGTTTGGCATCGAATACTGTGTTAGTAGGATTCATTGCATCTTGATTCTTTGCCACATCACCAATCAATCATTTGGTTTCGGTAAATTCAACATAGCTTGGGGTGGTCTGGTTGCCTTGATCATTTGCAGTGATCTCCACTTTCCCATGCTGGAAGACCCCTGCACAGGAGTAGGTGGTGCCAAGATCAATGCCAGCTGCAGGGCCCTTGGACATGGTTGCTTAGTGCAGGTCCCAGGTGGTGGAGGGGGAAAAACCGTACCTCAAGGCTGCCATTGTGCTAAATGAGAAGAGCTGAATAGATTTTAAAGCTTGAAAAGACAAAATGAATTACTAGAAAGAAATGTACATAAACCTGAAATTAGAAGACCAAAACAAGAAAATGCTGCACATTTCTCATGCTGAAAAAATTCAAGACTTCAATTGCAGTACTGACATTGAAATACTGTTAACAAAATATTGAATGACACAGGAAGCATCAAAAAAAGATTGAAGGAATACACAGAGTTACTGTATCAAAAAGAATTGGTGGACATGAAATCATTTCAGCTAGAAAGCTCATTAACAGGGCACTGCCAGTGGTTCAGGCTGAGTTGAAAAGATGCTGAGGCACCAAGGATACCATTGTGGCTGTCAGATCTTGGCTGAGAGTGTAGAATACCAGAAGAATGTCTATTTGTGTTTTATTGGTGAAACTGTATCTTTGGGCATGTTGTCTGGAGGGGTTAAGAATGTCTATTTGTGTTTTATTGGTGAAACTGTATCTTTGGGCATGTTGTCTGGAGGGGTTAATCCTTGGGAAAAAGACATCATGCTTGGAAAGGTGGAAGATCAGCCAAAATGAAGACCCACAGTGAGAGAGAATTGACACTGACTTTGGCACTGGGCTCAAGCATGTCAGAGATAATGAGGATGGCATTGGATAGGACAAGATTCAGATCTATTCATAGGGTCGCTATGAGTTGAATTCAACTAGACAGCACTTAACAGCAGTTCATTTTAGGAAGCAGCATATGACTGAGAACCAGTAGTATAGAAATTGTCCAGTCTGCACTGAAGGAATTGGCAAAAACAAGACTTCAAGAATTGACAAAGTAATAATTAATACATTTTGAGAAATAGAGCCCTGGACATGCGTGCCCTAAATCCAAGAAATTTGGAAGACATCCATATTTATTCCCATTCAACAGAGAGGTAGTCCAAGAAAATGGAAATTTTTGGACAGTAACTTTAATATCCCATGTGAGTAAAATCTTGTTGAAGGTTATTTAAATAAAACACTATATCAACAGGGAATTGATTGATCCAGAAATTAAAACTGGATTCAGAAAAGATTGTGGAAAAAGGGAAATAATTGCTGAATTCAAAGATTTAACTGTGTAAACATGTTGTTAGGTTCTGTCAAATTGCCTATAACTCATAGTGACCCTATTCACAATAGCTCTTAACCCTGCTCTATCTTGACTTAGTCTCATGGTCTCCAACATACCTATCACCATTGCCCCAGTTACTATGGTAATTCATCTCTTCCTCCACCCTTCCAAGAATGATGTCCTTCAGGGACTGGTCCCTTCTGGCAGCATGCCCTAAGTATATGAGACAGATTCAAAATCCTTGCTTCCAAGGAGTAACTTCTTCAGGGCAGAACTGTTTGTTCTCTTGGCAGTGCATGGTACGTTAAGTACTCTTCTCCGGCACTATAGCTCAAGGCATCAGTTCTTCTGTCTTCCTTAGTAATTGTCCATCTCTCAGATTTATAGCAAGCGGTTGAGAAGACTATGCCCTGGATCAGGTGCACCTTTAGTCACTAGACATTGTTGCCATTCCAGACATTTGAATCTCCATTCTATACATCTGTATGTAATCCTTGTGATAAAAGATTAGCTTTTTCGCAGATAAGCTTGACTTTAGAAACATCTTTTGGGGCAACTCTTTGGAGGCACCTGGTCTTCATTTTATTTTTGTTTGGTTTTTTTTTTGAATTGGGAAAAACATACTGGGGGTACAAGGAGGTGAGGTTTGGGGGCAGAAGGGTGAGGATGGGCCAGGATGCAGCTGCAGAGCTGCACAGTTTGGTTGGTGGGGGGAGCAGGTGAAGGAAATGATGAGGGTCCATTGGGGACCAGATGCTACAGGGG